CTTGAAATCCTGAATTCGAGTCTTTTGTCCCAAAACCCCGCTCCCCACACAGAACTCCATACATTGCCACATCGCTAAATCTACACCGGAACCCCAATCAAAATTTGCAGCGACATGTTGTAGAAGCTGAAAAATCACCAAATTCACTCACTAACAATCCTGTTACAGTCAGAACGTAATCATGTAATGCACCCAAAGCCTGAATCTACTTTAGGCCCTTTAGGCCCCTCCAGTAGCCTCCGCCTCCGTTACAACCACAGGATCGGGCTCTGCCGGGGCTGCACACTGCACGATGATGCCCTAGCAGAGTGGGTGCAGAGCTCGCCGGAGGGATTCAAGTATACAAGTTGAATTACCTCGCAAAGCGTGGTCATTCTCATATGCTTCTGCCCCGGCGTACATGTTCCTGTCGAGCTGGTTTCCCTTAAGGCCACCGCGTCCAATGGCAAGAGGCCACCCTACTATGGTGGTGCTCGGCCATTGGGGTGGGTACATGTTTGTTCACTGAAGTGCCTCACGAAGCCCATTTGTCTTAGGATGTGCAGAGTCATCCCTAAAGCAACTGGTTAACAGCCTCAGTAACTCTCAAAGTGAGCTATGGCAGCCTAAGCCTTGCAAAGCAGGGGGGCCAGAGGCAATGCTGAGCAACAACGTGCATCGCATGCAAGCGCTGTTCACGGCGCCTAACATGGGGGTCAGGTGGCTCACACCCCTAGGCCGTGAGGAAAGCGTTGCGTTTCGCATTGTACGCTGTGCCATAAGAGGGGGGAGTTGAATTACTCGCAAAGCGTGGTCATTCTCATATGCTTCTGCCCCGGCGTACATGTTCCTGTCGAGCTGGTTTCCCTTAAGGCCACCGCGTCCAATGGCAAGAGGCCACCCTACTATGGTGGTGCTCGGCCATTGGGGTGGGTACATGTTTGTTCACTGAAGTGCCTCACAAAGCCCATTTGTCTCAGGGTGTGCAGAGTCATCCCTAAAACAATTATACAAACAATATCTAGATTGGGCTATTTGGATGCCTAGGCTTCGTGCTTTTGGATCTAAGCTTCAGAGTTTAGGCTTTAAGTTTGGGATTCGAGGCCTATATATGGCTTGAAGAGTAGCGGCGTGAGCTTCCGCATTAGGGTTGAAGGATGCGGACCAAGTATCTGCTAAGTCACCCGCGAGGAGCTGAAGCATAATCAATTGCCCTTTCATCGACCCCCCAAGACCTGCAGAAGTAGGATGCTCGGCGTGAATTGCAGCAAGGGACGTAACTGCGATTGGACGTACAAGCTGAGTCAGGGTTTAGGGTTTAGGGTTCTTGCCGTGCCAATGGGAACAGTGGTTTGTAGTCGAGAGCTGCAAACAGAAAGCTTAGCGACCCAACACAGACGCCCACAACGCAAGGTCCGGGTTGTAGTAACTACTAATGTTTGGGCTTATAACCCTAAATATTATTGGGGTAACCTACATAGTTAGGGGGACTATAGATAGGGTTATAGGCGCAGTAAATGCCTACAGCTCCGCCCTCAAAATTCGACGGTGTTCAGCATACTTGCACTGAGGAATATTGGACATCTGGTTGCTTAGTGTGGAAGTCCGGTTCTAGGGGCCCACCTATAAGTTGGAGTTAATACGGGGAATATTTGACAGTACCAGGAGGTGGGACGGGGTTCAACGTTAGGGGGGAAGGGTTGACGTCGACACCATGTGAGCTATGGTCCAAACTCCTTAAAGGGGGGTCATAATATGTAGGGGATTATATAAGGGACTACTATGGGGATTATTACGGGGGAATCTAGGAGTTTAGACAATGGCTCATGTAGCATTCATCCTTGGCTTTTAGGGGAAGGGCTTTCTGCCGCCTGCCTTCTAAATGGGCTTCCAGCCAAAAATCGGAATTTGCGGCAGATCATCGAGGGCTTCAGGGTGTAGGGTTTCGTTTTGGGGGTTTCCAGAAATTGGAGGGCTCCATTGTAGACTCCAACATACTATAACTAACTATTGTTGAGTAAAGGTACTTGCAGACACCCCCACTTTTTGGAAACCCCCTCAAGGCTTGGGGTTCAGGATCTTGGGTTAGGATACAGGACTGAAGTTCCTTCTTCTTATCTCTCCAAACTCTTCTTGAGACAAATTCCAGGTGGGTAGTTACCAGGTGCTTTCCCTTACATAGGGCTTATGTAAGCCTTATATGGCAACTACATGAGGGCCGTGTAAGGCCTATATGGGGGAAACTACCCTTTTTTCTAGTCAGATGGGCTAGGGGTGGACTAGCACCTAAACTCTGCATGACGTTTGCTTGGATCAGGCTAAGGATGATCTACTTGCGAAAACTTGGGGGAGAAATTGTGTGTGTACCATCGACTCGGTAACCAAACTACCCCCCCTGAAAGAAACTCTTCGCTTAGAAGCACGCGCCCCGAATATAAGCCCTTGATGATAGGGTCCTTGCACACCGATGAGTTACAAACTTTATATCTACCTTATGTGCCCTTCTGAACTTTAATCCCCGAGGAATAAGCTAAGGGCCATGCTAGGGGCCCATGCTTCTGACCTGTCAGACAATTAGGGGCCTCAAACCATAATAGCTTCTGGAAGCTCCCCCACGGAGACGAACGAATTGTGACCAGACAAAAATCCTAAAAACGCTGAATGACCCGAAGTACCTTACGCCAGGGGATTTTTTGAGTTTAGTGAACTGCTGTAGTAAAGGTAGGAGAAAAATGTGCTACGGTAGTCACACGCAGACTATGAGGCGACAGTCCTCTAAGTTCTCAGCAAGTCAACACACTACGGCCTGACCTGCCGCAGACCCTCAACTGAATCCCTATTCCCCCAGTCAGAATAGCTGGATTGTTGGGAAACCTTCAGTGAATCTCCCATAGAGGAAGTCACTGGCATTGAATGCTGCAACCCAAGGAGAAAGCAGTATAAGGAAACCTAGACCACTAAATTCCTGAACAATCCGCATTGTGAACGTAGTACACCCTGATGTCTGCACCTTAGCATGACTCTCTTGTCTGAGGTCATGAATCGGATGGCTCACAGAGTCATGGAACTTAGCAGCCACTTCCCAGCAAGTGGATATCGGTCGCCTATCAAGGAAAACAGTGGCTTTAATACAGGCAGTACGTTTTGAGGTTACATACTCTCGCCATGCTTTGAAGCCGGATGATTTTCGCATCGCTACTTTTGAATTCCAGAGTTTGAGGGGAGCACGAGGTGGACATAGCGGGTACCTGAACCGCACGAAGATGTTCATGGTAGTTAGAACGGATTATTATACAAGCGTGTTGAAACCCAACGATGTCCCCCCGATATGTTTATCCAGGCTATCACAATGTTATGCGCGCAGCTACCTTGTCGGTCATAGGTTCCAAGCCCTAAACCCTAGACTCCAGGCAATTTGAATCCACTGGCTACGTCCGTCCCCAAAGTTTCCTGGCTGGCTTGGCTACACACACACTCGGAACTAATGTTAAGATTGTAGGGTGCAAGGCGTAGAGATCTAGGGCCTTGATCCGGCGCAACAATGACCTGTATCCATTACCCCATGGTAACAGGGCTTAAAACTGCGTTAGGATCGAAGATAGGATGCGAATCATAGCGATTACTACCCTGGACCTGCAACTAGTAGCCAGCTGATATGGGGCGCCTCGCAAGTTTATTAAGGACTCTAGTATATTTGGGTAGCTACAGTTTAAGGCACAACTGCGCTCCGGAAGGAAACAGAGCCAGGCCTGTTCAGCTCAAGTGAGGCTTACGCCTGTGCCGGTCTTTCTCACATGAGGATTTGATACAGGGTGATATATGAGCCATAATCTAAACTCCTAGCCTATATAGTTTCCTATATATAACCCGATTTTAGGAGTTATGGCTCAGGGATATCGGAAGCGAGGTTCAGCCTCCATTCACTTAATCCTCAACTGAAAGGCTTCACTTCCAGGCTTTAAGCTTTGGGTTCAGCTTGAATAATGCCCACATCCTGTAACTGTCACCCACTATACTAGTTGTAGTGATATTATACTGTGCATGAGGTGTCCTATGTATGACTTTTTAAAGGCGGAAGAAGTAGCCAAGGAATTGGGAGTCAAGGGTTTGGGGTTAGGGACCTGAATTGCCAAACAATTAAGTCCAAGCTCCTAATTAACGAGCCCTGAAATCTTGACACAGCAAATCCTGCATGACCCTCTTGAGAATTATGGGAGTTTGGTATCAAAAGGTCAATGCAGGATTTCTTGTGGTAACCGAACCCCACGGCACCTTTGTTGCTCGGCATGTCTGGCAGTAAGCTCTGTTTGTCATCGCTGCGCGCCAAATATGAAAGATGGGACTATGGGCTTGGGAGTTTAGGGTTTAGGGTGTAGGGTTCAGGTTTTTTATTGAAAGGGTTTAGGGTTTTAGGGTTTAGGGTTTAGGGGTTTACGGTTCAGGGTTGCAATGACTTACTGGTGGTTCAGGAATATCATATAATCCCCATATGACATATTCCCTCATTCCCTACCAACCACCAGTCAGATGAAGGGGATTCCCTGTTCAATTGTTACAAGTGGAGGTTTCCCAAAATTAGGCCTACCATTTTGGGAGTCCTAATATACTAATAAGGACTAAAATATTTTGGGGTTTAGATTGGATCCCCTTATTTCAGGAAACTACCAAACAGCCAGCCAACTGAAGGGCCAGCTTGGGGCAAGGACAAGGAGAAGTGCCCAGTGGCTGAGAATGTGCTCGTAGATCCAGTGCAGCTCGCTAAGAATCACAGCGTGGCACGCGCCATAACCTCAGGTAGCTCTGAGTACAGCAAAAGTTCTTAATTAAGCCAATCCTCGTTGACTTAGAGCGGATTGCATAGATGTCCGAACGACATGCAGCTAGACCGTTGCCGTCAGGGCCTGGACAAACGACCTGCAGAGTGGCAGCGCCCTCCTTTTCACGCAGCTGCCGATGGGATGAGTTCACCGAACGATCTCTTGTCGCGGTGCTCTGGAAGACTCCCACACTGGCATCAGTTCTCACTGAAGAATGGGCTTACTAAGAAGTTGCAAGGTGCCTTCTGCTGAGATAATGAAGAAAGCCACAGGCACATTCACGCCGACTGTGAACCCTTCCAGCGAGCCACCTCTAGACTTGCCATTGATGTTAAACCAGGAGACACTCCAAGTGTCGCTGTCCTCCTCCTCGTTGTACTTACACGTCGCCTCAATCTCCAAGAAGTTCTCCTGCCTCAAGTAGAACTTCTTCGGCGCTCCATCAGATGCGTTGAGCACGGTGGTCTTCAGCCATTTCAGTGCTGCCCGCATGCCGCTTAGCCAGCTCTTGGTCCCAGCATTCTCCTCACACCTCTTACGAATGTTTGCATGTGTCTCCAGGCAGGTGCTGTCGTCCCACTCGGGTGTGTAGACCAAGTATGCATCTAAAGGGTGAGGCCTAGGTGTGAGTGGTGTGAGCATGATGCACAAATCTCCCTGTGGTCTTGCAAATTTGGCTGTGCGTGTGGTCGTCGCATTAGCTGACAGCCTGGGAGACATATGGATTTGAGACTGCAGTTGGGGTTGTGTATGCCAATCAGCCGGGAAGTATGGCATGAGCTGGTGTGAAGTCCCTTGCTCGTCCACAGCAGACTCGCCGAGGCCCAGTCTTCAGCGGAGGCCGGCAAATAAGCCGCGGCTGCTGGAATCACTTCATCTGCCAGGCTCAGAGAGCGGACGACGCTGTTCCCCAAATCTGCAACCACCAGCTCACCTCTAGGACCGATGGCCAGACCACCAGGACAAACAAGCTTGAGAGGCGTGGCCAAGGGTGGAAGCCCATGCGGAGAAAAGCCTGCTTTGCCAGTACCCATCACGGGCTGAGCTTCCAAGGTCTTCAAACAAACACTGAAGATCTGTTGCTTGCCAAAGTCATAGACGTAGAGGGCACCCTCCTTTGCCACCAGAGCGTTCGGGCATGCACCCTGGTACACAGACCTGATCTCCCTTGTCCTCATGTCGAAGCTCAGCACCCGATAATTCCCCGTGTCTGCAATGAAGAGGATATCCCCAAGCAGCGCAGTGGCACAAGGAGAGCTCAGCAAGAAGCCTTCGGGCTGCTCACCTGGCTGTCCGCAGCCCTCCTTCTCCCAGACACCCATGAAATCATGGACATCCTCAGTCTGCTTGTACCAGCACCGAACGGTGTGCATGCGAGGTTCGGCCCAGTAGACTGCGCTGCCATCCATGCTCAAACCCTGCGGGCGATACACCTTTTCCGTCACCTTCCTCCATGACAGAGACTTCAAGTCACAAACATGTAGCTCTTCTGGAGAGCGACAGGAAGCTGCCAACTGCCCGCTGTGACAGGCCAGGCCTGTGATATCGGCTTGAAAGGGTAGCGCAATCTGCTTTGGAGGCTGGCTCGGATCCGTTGGGTCGATGAGGAGAAGAGGTTCCGAGCTGACACTTCCAACGATGGCCGAATGATTCGACATGGCAAGGAGCTCTGGCTTCTTCAGGTCGACAGCAATGGGTTCAACTTTCTTGGACGGAGCCACAGGCAGGCTTGGGGCTTGAGGATCCTTCGACTCAGCTTGCAATCTCTCCACATCCTCGGTGCACTTGAAAGCTGTTGGAACGGAATTTCTGTGCAGGAGGTGGCGGATTCCAAATATGTCGTCCAGAAAGCCACGGAAGGCATCGCAACCACAGACTGAACTTGTCGAAGCTCATCCTCAGAGCAAAGCCTGACATGCAGGAAAGCACCAGAACATTCAAGCATTGGCACAATCGCATCTGTCGTCGTGTAGCACACGGGGCGTACCGGGGCAGATGCTTCCACCTTTCGGCAAGGGCCTCGGCACGGCTAGCATCTTCGGAAGCATCCCAAATCCAGACGGGTAGTCCTTGCGTTCAATGTCCGCGGCTGGCAAGCAAGGAGGACAAACACAGCAAAGGAAGTAAGCTCTGCCTGGAACTTATGTCTTGCTGCGTGCAGGGTAATGCTGTCTTTCATCTGCTGGCTGAAGCTGGGCTCTTTGAACTTCTCTGCCTCTCGCACCAATGAATCCACCCGGCAGTCTAGCCACTCGCGAATATCACATGGGAGAGTCTGGTAGTCAAGGCTCTCAAGTGCACGCTGGACAATGCTCAGCTCATGGTCAAAGTTCTTACGTTTTGCCAGCGTCGCTTGCATCGCTTGCAGGAGGTGAAGCGAGGCAGTGCGGACACCATTGAGCAAGGAGATCCACGGGGCAGCGCTGGCCGGATCCACAAATGACCTTATGCTCTGAAATGGGAAACCTTGCACAGGTCTCACAGGCCAGCGGCGAACTTGCCCGGAAGCAGAAGCGGCGCAGCGGATCCAGTTCTTAAACATGCCTGGCAAACTTCTATCTCACACTTTGGAGATGCAACTATGAAGCTCTAAGTGGGTCTGGCAAGCAAAGCACAACACTTGGGCCAGGTCAGCGGGCTGGCACGCTCGGCAGAAGGGCTCCGTAAGTCAAGCAATCTACATGCACATGTCCATAAACAGGGATCTTTATATAGAACTCAAGATAATGAAATCCCTCTTATAGGGCTCCCCAAAAGGGGAACCCGAATTGATGGGAACCCTCACATTAGTTCACCTCTGCTGAGTGCAGATTACGACTTTTGATGCCGAGCAACGTCGTCGTGCGCCTGCACCTGAGCCTGCAAATTGCGAGGGAAGAAACTGGGGGCCTGGTGGGGCAACCTACTGCAGGAGACAGAGGAATGCATTGTAGTCCCTGCAAACATGTATATGGATTAAAGCGGAGTTGGGGAGCGTATCCCTTGTAGCATTCCCATCTACATCCCCGCAGTTCCCTCCTCCTCTACTCCCTGTTCAGCACCAGTGAGATCCAATTAGAGTGCTGGGTGGCCTCGCTGAATTTCACTGAGCTGTAGGGGGTGCATTATGCCATAAATATACAACTGGCAACTATATGGTTCAACAACCCTAAACCCTAAACTTTAAACCCAAAACCCTAAAATGTGAACCCTAAACCCTCAACCCTAAACCCTGTTCAAGCTTCTACAGTAGCCCGGCCTCGCTCCTGCGGTTCATGCCGGGGCTTATCTTCTGCAACGCTCCACTCAGCCACCTGGCGTGTCTCAAGGTTTTCATTTGTGATCCCCCGAATTTACACCCAGTATATCCACTCACCAATATTCCCAAGCATCACGAACTACACTGACCGGAAACCGATGTTTAAAAGATACTTCAGTGTCTCGAGCTCTAAAAGCAAAGAGGGTAACGTAGGAGCCTAAATGGCGTAAATGAGTAGGAAGGGGGTTCGCACATGTTTGGCTATAGCTATATAAAAGTTCCAAGTTAATGTTATAGAGTCTCCTTCAGGCCTCCCCGCATTTCTGCCCCGGAGATTCTTGCTTCGAGGATCGCAAGCAGAAGTTGAAATCACCTAACCCCATGGCTGAAAATTCCAATCCGGATTTTTCTAGCGTGTGGCTTAGGGTTTAGAGCATCGCATTTGGGACCTAAGCGTCATCTGAATTCCTTATTGCTTCCTTCCATGTAGCCTGCTAGGTTGAGGTCAGGAGGCAAACAACAGTTGCCTGAACCTCCAACTCCGAAACCTTACCTAACCCCCTTAACCTTATGCCCGGATTTGTTTCCTTTGGACATGAGGTCTCGATGGCCCCTGTCTTCTGTAGAACATGCCCTGCAAAGTTTAGGACAGAAGCCTTTGGAAGTTTCTCAAAATTCGTGGCCCCTAGGAAACCCCAAGGACATACGTGGATTATAAGAGGATTATTCCGGGTCCTTCTCGACGATTATGTAGGGGCTAGTTTGAGAAGTGCCCATTTGTACTGCCCTTATCCCTGCGTATCTGTCCACATGTAATTAGGGCTTTGGCCCGTCTCTCATGCAAGCCAAGACGCTAACTTCATCGTCCAAATCTCGTTCGCAGGAGAATTACAGAAACGAGTCTCAGGCTGCATGAACCTGAAACTCGAAAGTCCCAGAAACCTCCCCATGAGAATGTAATCCTCACGATATGGACCTCCAAAACCCGACCCCTAGTTTCTGGAAACTACCACATGAACTCTGCTTTGTTAGGGTCCTGAACCGTAAACCCTAAACCCTGAGGCCT